TACCGAGGTAAAATGGCGACATTTTTAAAATTTCTATTGTTTGTTCTTATTTCGTGGGGATAAGCCCAAACCAAAACAAAAAAGGTTGCCTTCTCCAGGAAAGTTTCTGTCGACCCTCCTTCGTCACATATCTCTCTCAACAAAAACATATTGTGGTTACAGGTGCGCATTTAATGGCTGAAGTTGAGCAGCCGTAACATGGCTACGCATCAGCCTATGTTTGCAGAAGAAGAATCATAGCCTAGACGCTCAATGCATGTGCACTCATTTTGCTGCTGTGTTCGTGCTGAAGAAAAACGACTGAACATGCTCTTACGCCTCTGGCGTCATGACACCCGCCATTCGATATTCCTAATGAGTTGTTATGTAAGTATTATTTGTCCTCATTCTAGGGACCAGGAGAAAACTGCATAGCTGTAGGAAACTTTATTTTTATAACTGGAATTAAAAAGTGTCCATAAACATTTACCACTCTCCTCTTTTGACTCCCGAGTGTAACTTGTTCATTTGAAAATGGTCTCCAAAATTGCCAAAAATCGACTATTGACGCCGCCTCTCAAAACGCGGTCGGTGTCATAATTTCCATGTATACTAATTCATAGCGGGGAAGACTAATATTTGCCGGCAAGCAACTCTGAATATGGCCGCTATTTGATAGAATACACTATTCAGAAAGAATCGGCCAAAAACTTGTCTGTGAAAAACACCCGAAGAGAAAAAAACCCTGTTCGTTTCTAACAACGTCGTGTTCTTTGTAGCTGCATGTGAATTTTCGGGTTTAATTGTTAATCCGTGCGAGCTCTTAGCTGAGAAATGGCAACTGGTACGGGTACCAATCGAGGGAGTTTTACCTACAACAAGTGGAAAAAGCAATTTTCTTCCTATAGAGCGGCTTTTAACAATCCAGCCATGAAGAATAAACTTAAAATAGCAAAGCTCACAAAACTGGAAACCATCAGCACGAGACTCTGTAACAAATTCATCAACGCGCGACTGCATCGAGCTGGTTCCGTTCTTTTCCACACACTCAGCGAGGGTGGTGTCATCCACATACATCCAGATGTTCGTATTCGCCACTCTCAGGTCATTAACCATTATTAGAAATGACCGGGGGCCGAGTTTAGTCTCCTGAGGAACACCTGCTGGTACAGCACGCCATTCCGATACACAACCACGACTCAATTTCACCCTTTGCCTTCTATTCGTTAGGAAATCCAAGATCCAGCACATGATCGATTCCGGAATGTCATACGAGGAGAGCTTTTGGGCTAGAACATGATGATCAATTAAGTCAAAGGCTTTGCGAAAGTCAAAACAGTACGGCTCTCGTAGTAGCCCCATTTCGGACAGTCGATTCCAACCAGGAGTGCAACATACTGATAAGCGCATGCGTAGTAGAAGATTTAATACGGCCCCAAATTGTTGAGGATAAATTCTCTCCAGCACAGCAGGTTTGACATAAGTGTCAACCACATAAGCTTCAGACATCTTTGACAAAATGGGGGTTAGTGAAATAGGGCGTAAGTGCTTGTTTACTTCACGGACAGGCTTTTGCTTTAGCACAGGGACTACATATGCGTGCTTCCATGACAATGGCAAGCGTCCTTCATGGGACGAGGAGTTCAAGATGTTAGATACCGTATCAGCTAAAATGTCTGCGTGTTCCTTTAACAACCATCCTGGGATGTTGTCTGAACCGTTGGCTTTGCACGGGTTCAACTTTGATAGTTTCTTGCGGACTGACTCAACCGACACAACAAGGGAGTTTTCGAAGTAGTTACTGAAAGTAGTGCACAAAAAAGCAGCAGGAAGCGGTGTGAAGCAGTGCATTGGCGATAAGAAAGCCTCATTGATGATGTTAGCCAGGCCGATTTGGTCAATACCCTCATGCAGATGTTGTAGCGATTTCAAAGTGTCACTTCGCGCCGTGGAGGCAACTGAGCGCCCACTAAGCTCTTTCACTTCTTTCTACCACTCAAATGGTTTACATTTAAGGCCGTTGACCAATTTGTTGTTTTACCAGATTCAGATGGGTATTATTTAGGACATTTAGTGTTCAGAGCTGATACTTGTGAATGTGCTGTCTTAATTTGGTCGAGGGATGGTGATTGAGGCAGTTGGAGGGGGCCTGGGGGCCACAGTTCTAGGCAACTGATCGAATTCCTTCATCTAATGGTGGCTCTAGTAAATATACTGACAGGTCGATAGATAAAGAGTATTGACAAACCTATATGGTCTCGATGTGATTTTAAATTAAAAAATAATTTCTTTCAGTAACCAGCAGAGATATATATATATATATATGGTGATCCGTCTGAGAAATATATTTTGTAGACCCGAGAGAGAAGGATATTTTTGTTTCCTCTTAATTGGGTTACATTACCCTCATACTGATGGATAAGTTCGTACAAAGAGTAACTAAAACAAATAAAAAACGCTTTAGAAAGAAAGGAATGTAACTGAGATTGATGAGACTTACTGTGATGAATCACTCAGTTCATTTATTTGGGTTAAGATGTAGGAATAGATTACAGCGCTAATCTTGAATTAGGTCGATATAATTTAATTTTTTTCATATTTCCTTTCAGATCATGTTCCACGTGGCATGAAAAGAAGCAGAAGTATGGGAATCGGCCAAGAATCGACAACCTGTGAAAAGCTCCAGAATATTGCACCAGGAACGCTAGCGAAAGGTTCAGTTTGCTTACCAATCGCCTTACATGGTATAACGCCACCTTTCATATATTCCAACTGAATTATAGTTGTTTGTTTCTGTTTATGCACGTGTGTGTGGGCGTAATAAATAAGTGAGTTCAGAGGTCACCAATCGAGATGATTACCATTCAGAGGAACTCAGCTCAGAGAAGGATATTTCGGAAGAGATAATTGTAGAAGACAACTGTTCAGAGCATTCTAATAGAGACGTAAGGAATGTAGGTTCAAAGGATAACAGTTTAGAGGACTATTTCTCGCAGGATAAGGGTCAGAGGACGCCATTCCAGACGAAGGAATTGTAAGAGTGAAAAGACCAGAGAAAAATATTGAAGGATATTACATTGACTAAGGTAACATTCCAATAAAAGCATTACCCGATCAGATTAAGAAAGATGGGAATGATCCCGAGGTGCTAACTGCTGGAGATAACCCTGATACAATCATAGCAGGCGCAGGAGAGTTTATAAAGAGATTTATTGCATCGAGGGACATCTCAGGAGGCAATGTAGACGACGATATTCCAGAAGTAAATACATGGAGTAACATCGCCGACAAACATCCAGGAGAAAATGATCACGGACTATAAGACTCAAGAAGATATAACAGACCGTTGCGATATAAATGATTGAGGCTTTTTCAAAAATGTTTTTTTTTTGTATTACAAAAAGACATTTACGACATATCTGATAGCTAGATAGCTGGAGATCTTAAAAACACGTAAATATAAAAAGAAACACTATTAAAACATGACGTTTTCCCTAGCGTGAAAACAAATGTACTACCGAAGTATTTCGCTTTCCATATTCTATGGTGGCGATGTATATTATCAACTCAGTTGATCATCTTGTAATACCTCCTCCCCCCCTCTATGATACGCTGCGAACCCATTGACTTTCGCTTTTCACGGTTGAGAGAGGAAATTTGCATATCTGCCAACGCTAAAGAATCACAGACCGTAGTTTGATGTAAATCGAAGGAAAAAACTCTAAAGGTAAGAAGCCTGTTTGACATTTTCTCTGGATGAGCTAATCTCCCTACTCTTAATTTTAAGGTTTGCTGAAGATCTATTGAAGTGATTGCTTTTGTGATTGAGAAATCTGTCTAATGAGCGTAATTTAAGTGAGTGGCGTGTATGAACCAGCTTCGAAATGCAAATCTGAGAGATTTTCATTAGTTTCGAATCTCTATGAAATGTCGTTTGCGATACTTGAAGGATGACTGACTAGCAAACCAGCTCAATCAGAATATTACTATTATTTTGAGCCTCGCTCCTTTGGTTCCTATTCGGTTAAAATTTAGGTTGAAGTCAAATTCAATTAATTCCTCCTCAGAGAATGATCAGAGCGGCCGGCGTGTCGTTATTTCATTATCATTACCCCGCTCCAGCGAATAGATGATACTCTTTGTTTTGATAAGTAAGGCATCACCTCAGGAGAGAATGATGATATGAAATGTGTGTATCTACTCCTGTAAATCATAGGGAGTAAATGAAGTGGGTGACTATCAACCACGTCGTGACTGCTAAGTGTTTTCTTCCTTGTGTCACGCAATGTACTACACATTCTAGCCCACCTAGTTTCCCTTCTTTGAGCAAATTTTTTTAAAGTCTTTTGTAATTGAATCATGTTTTCACCTCCTTAAACAGACTCTTTTGACAACCAGGTGAAACTGGGAACCTATATAGCCGTATTAATGCTGAACTTCCCAAACTTCTATTTATTTTTGTTAAAGAAAATAAGTAAAAAGTAAATGGAAATTAGGCTTCACAGTCATTTGCGTATTTAGTTTTCCTAGGTGTTGTCATAAACTGAAAAGCTTGAAAAGTAGAGGATAATAAACTTTTTGCGCGAACTATCTTTAAATGTGATTTGAATAAGGGTGCAGGTCCCGAGATTTCAAATTACTCGTTCGACCCACTATATATGTCGCTTTTGCTAAAGGGGTTCAGATCAGAGTATTTAGGGTATTTTTTTTACAATTTCTCTTCTCATTTAAGCTTAAGAAAAACGCATCTAAGTTGTTGAACACTGATTCCTTGCCAGAAAAATCATACCCACATAACGTGGAATGAAAATGTCTAAGTATTATTGAAAAAAATCCGTTTTGATCCTCTCCTCTTAAATCATCCATCCATCCTATTTAAGCTGGCACGTTTTATATTAGCTATATCTGTCTTTTGTGAGATCTACCGTTCACTCCGTTGATCTATTTCACAGTTTGGGTTGCAGTCATGAGGTAAGGACGGTCCGATAACTGATCCCGCCTCAGTTTTTCCTTCTTTCTAAATGGCTGCCGCTCTGGACCCAGATGAGGTGCTTCGTTCTTCGAAAGGGAGAGATAATTATCAGCGTCTAGCTCGGCTTTTGATAAGTGGCGGTACTGTACTGTTGAGGGAAGCTTTTGACATCAAATGTCCACCCAGTAATCTTTCCACAACACTTCAGAATCCAGCCACGAAGAAGCTGCTTAAGGCAGCAAAGCTCACCAAACCACAGTGGGACTGTCTGTACCCTTCCCCGGGGATGTACGGAAAGTCAACAGACTTTGATATAACTCTCCTTTTCCGGTTGCTGAGGACAATATGCGGCCTTGTCCCTCCTGTCACGGGCTGGGATGCGCTGCCGGCAAGTACAGATGACAGTTTAGAAGCAGATTTTGCTAGAATCAAATATTACCGCAATTCGATATATGGTCATGTGACCGAGAACATGGAAATCTCAGATGACGAGTTTTTAGTTCTTTGGAGAGAACTCAGCGGGGCTCTTGTGAGAGTTTCGGGTCAAATCAGCCCTGCAAAGGCAAAAGAATGGAAGAATGCTATTGATACATTTTTAAAAGATCCCCTTACAGAGGAAGACAAGAGACATGAGCAGGAATTGCAGCGCTGGTACCAGAATGATACAGAAGTAAAGGAATATCTGGAAAAGGTAGAATCCTCAATGAAGCATTTGGAGAAAGAAGCTCAATACGTAAGACAAGAGGTTCGAGAAGAAGCCCGAGATATTAAAGATGAAGTGCAACGCTTAGGACAAGACATCAAAGATGAGCTCGGTGGGAAAGTAGAATCTACAGCCCAAGAAGTGCAACGCTTAGGACAAGACATCAAAGATGAGCTCGGAGGGAAAGTAGAATCTACAGCCCAAGAAGTGCAACGCTTAGGACAAGACATCAAAGATGAGCTTGGATGGAAAGTGGAATCTACAGCCAAAGAAGTGCAACGCTTCGGACAAGACATCAAAGATGAGCTCGGAGGGAAAGTAGAATCTACAGCCCAAGAAGTGCAACGCTTGAGGCAAGAGTTTCGAAATGAGGCCCAAGACATCAAAGATCGATTGAAACTGGGTGGTCGACCCAATTCCTCAGCTGGAGGTCAGCTTGTTGATATTTACTGTATATCTATTACTAGTAAAGTATTTTTCCTTTTACATAAGCACTTACGTAACGCACAAGGGTCACCTGTAGGGTGCACATTGTACAATTTTTATGACAGAAATGGCTTCATATATTTTTGAAGCGGAGAAATGTCAATTATTTATCGTTACTTGATTATATCCGGACGACCACTCATACTAATTGCCTGTTTTGCCTCTGTTGTGAATGGTTAGTCTGCTGCAGTTACTGACACTTTTTCCCCTTACAGTTAAAATTCGAATGCGGATTGATTGTGAGACCATCCCAGACCCTCATCCGCCACTTGAGACATCTGAGACAGCGGTTATAGCCAGTCAGGGTACCCAAGCTTGTGGCGACGAGCTGGTAGTTACTGGAACGTCAGAAGAAACGCCTGAAGACACACAGGATACCCAGGCAAGAAGGCACGAGCGTAAGGCAGTGGAACCTGTTGCATCTGCTGGTCTACCACTCGTGGGAAGAACAGAAAACGTCGAAGAAGCAGGTTCTCAAGGAGTTATGAATTTCATCGCGCGCAAGTACTTTCAGACAGTTGACACAACCAAACCTGAGGAACGAAATGAATTTCTACGGTTTTTAACAGATGTGCGCAAAGTTCTGGTCCTAGATGCTCAATCAGGAAGTTTGATATTGACAGCACTATGTAGATCATTGGAGATACTGGATGCCCTGTGGTATGACTATTGCACAGGTCACTTGAATGACATGGCTCAGAAATATCTTGTGACAAAGGACGTTTTGAAGGAGTTTGACTTGACTGAGCTGAAACTGATAACAACTATTCAGAGGGAGGAGTACATTGTTGCACGAGAGTTTTTTCTGCAGAGTTCAGGTGAGTACACAGAAAATGTTTCGGAGAGCTGTCTTTAACCGAATGAATAGGACATCATCTTCGTCAATGCTTTAAAACACGTTAGCAGAGGTTTGCATGTTATGTTTTTTTTTTTGTTTCGTCAAATTCAGCCAGGCATCATTCAATAAATTTAATGATCACATCAAATACTTCTGCTCTATCTAGTTAATCGAGAGATGGGGATCGAGGACGGGGGGAGGCGACGCAGAGAGAGAGACGACCTCACGACCTTTTGACATTTTTAGGAAACTGATCTAACTACTTCATCTTGGGTTAGCCCAAAGTAATATATATATTTTCGAGCCGATAGTTTAACAGAATTAACAAATGTCTTTGAATTGCCGGCTGAAGAATGTAAAGTCATCAATTTGAAGAATTGTTCTCTATAGATTTCTGTAAAAAGGGTAATTTATGTGACCCGAGCACTCAATTCGGCTATCCTTCTCTTTTACTGATGCACAGATTCATACTGGGAGTAACTAAAATGATCCAAAAATACTTTCTAAAGACAGCTCAAATATATTTTCGATAGATAAAGCTTACTATAATCAGTCACTCAGCCAATTTATTAGGGCTTTTGATGATGTTACCTGCTATATCATCTCTAATCTTGAGCGACGCCGATGTAATTTCTTTTTATATTTGTTTTTAGATAATGGTGCGCCACAACGCCTAAATCTTCATAGTGACATACAAATATTTATAAAAACAGTGACTGGAAAGACGATCACTTTGGAGGTGGAACCGTCAGACACCATTGAGAAAGTGAAAACAAAAGTTCAAGACAAAGAAGGAATCCCTCCAGATCAGCAAAATCTTGTCTTTAAAGGGCTAAAATTGGAAGATAGCCGTTGCCTGAGTGATTACAATATTCCAAAAGAAGCGACTCTTCTCTGGGTTTCAAGACGTCGTAGGAGCATGAAAATCTTTATAAAAACAGTGACTGGAAAGACGACCACTTTGGAAGTGGAACCGTCAGACACCATTGAGAAAGTGAAAACAAAAGTTCAAGACATAGAAGGAACCCCTCCAGATCAGCAAAATCTTATCTTTAAAGGGCGAAAATTGAAAGATAGCCGTTGTCTGAGTGATTACAATATTCCGAAAGAAGCGACTCTTCTCTGGGTTTCAAGACGTCGTAGGAGCATGAAAATCTTTATAAAAACATTGACTGGAAAGACGACCACTTTGGAAGTGGAACCGTCAGACTCCATTGAGGAAGTGAAAACAAAAATTCAAGACAAAGAAGGAATCCCTGCAGATCACCAACGTCTTATCTTTGGCGGGCAGCAATTGAAAGATGGCCTTTGTCTGAGTGACTACAATGTTCCGAAAGAAGCGACTCTTTACTTGGTTTTAAGACTTCTTAGTGGCATGAAAATCTTTGTAAGAATATCGACTGGAAAGACGATTACTTTGAAAGTGGAACCGTCAGACACCATTGAGAATGTGAAAACAAAAATTGAAGACAAAGAAGGAATCCCACCGGACCAGCAACGTCTTTTCTTTAAAGGGCGGAAATTGGAAGATGGCCTTTGTCTGAGTGACTACAGTGTTCCGAAAGAAGCGACTTCTTGCTTGGTCTTAACACTTCGTAGTGGGATGCAAATCTTTGTAAAATTATCGACTGGGAAGACGATCGCTTTGGAAGTGGAACCATCAGACACCATTAAGGATGTGAAAGCAAAAATTGAAGACGTAGAAGGAATCCCACCGGATCAGCAACGTCTTTTCTTTGGCGGGAAGCAATTGGAAGATGGCTGTTGTCTGAGTGACTACAATGTTCCAACGGAATCGACCTTATACTTAAGTTTAAATCCTCGTGGTGGCATACTCATCTTTGTCAAGACTCTTACTGGCAAGATCCTTGCTCTAAATGTGGAGCCTTCAGATACGATTAAGAATATGAAACTGAAAATTCAGAGCAAATTGGGTATCCCACCGAGCCAGCAACATCTGATCTTTAGGAGGCAAGAACTCAAAGACCACCAAACGTTAGATGAATGTGAAGTCACAGACAAATCTTCTGTACATTTGCGACTCCAGGACGAACTTGATAGAATCCTTATCAATGTGGAGTTTCCTAGTGGAAGGAAGATTTTTATAAATGTTTCACCAGGGGATGATTTTGAGAGCGTGAGAAAAATAATCTGTGATAGAGAAGGGATTCCAGTTGATCAACAACGCCTCAGCTTTGTTGGCAAAGAAGTTGTAGACAATCACCTTCCTTTGAGTGAGTACGACAATCAGATTGAATTATCTCTGCAACTGGATGTGAAACAACAAAAAAATGAATTCCTGCTTCAGGTGAAGACACGATCTGGAAAAACAAATATCAAAATTGAAGCTGTATCGGGAGATACCATCCAGGATGTGAAAAGGAAAATAATGGAAGAGATTGGAATACCGCCAAATCAGCAACTACTTATGTTTAACACTCAAGAAATTGAAGATGAACGCCGCACGCTGGAAAGCTACCACATCAACAGCGACTCCATCATTGAACTGGTTATTAGAAGAACACATGGTAACGAAAGGCATATTTAAGCGAAAATGCAGAATGGTATAAGAACCGTAATAGATGTATCACCGGAAGATACCATCACGGATGCAGTAGCTAATCACTTTTGGTGACACGAAACTCGAAGGTGACAACAAACTAAGCGATTACGGTGTGGAACATGGATCCAGTTTTAATGACTACCAGTTCTAAAACTCAGAAGAAGTGTATCGTAAGTTAATTAAACTAGGCCTGACACAAATCCCAAAACGGAAGACGAAGATATTTGACAGCTCCATAAAAGAACGAGGCAGACTTTGCCTCAATCAGGAAACGAGCTAAATACAATCTTTGAGAGAATCCTTTCAGCATGTTTCCTAGATCTGACCATGCAGATACCGCTGATCACTAAAACTTATCTAGCCTGCATTTAGTTTCAAGATGGCCAATTACCAAGGGATGACAGAGTTTAATAATGTTTGTGCATGCGCTAGGCTTTGGCGCAGAAAACGGATTTTGAGTCGTTTTCACGTTCGATTTTCTATTTTGTTGCTTCTAGGCGTTGTTTACTTGCCGCTTTTCTATTACAGGACAATCTCCAAAAACTTTGTAAACCCCCTAAATATTTTCAAAAAGAATTTTCTCCTCAAAAACACTGAAAGTAGGAAAATGCCTACAACGATAACAAAATGCCTCTGTTTTTATTGCTAGCCCCTTTTTTCTCCGCAAATTTCGCTGAAATTTTGACCTCGAGGGTTTGAGCCTGCGTTATTGACCGCATACCTTTTACGTCGCATTTCGTTATTCAGCTCTACCAACATTATCATGAGTTGCCCTGAGCAGGGGCCGGTATGTGAAAGGCTCTCCAAACGCAGATCAAAATTTTTATGAACCTGTTTCTCTTGCCTATATTAGGAAGGACTTGGAATATCGTTGTCACAAAGTAGAACTATTTTTCCCATAGGAATTTCATTTGTCGAAAGGCATCAGAATCTTCAAGCATTTAAAAGATGTTAGAATCCAAATTACGACCGGCTTTTTATAGAGACACTTATACTGATAACGTTTTCCAGCTTTCATTTTTGAGTCTCAAGATATCGCGAGCTAACTAAGTAACAGTCGTTTGCTCAACCACGTGCCTTACGTGACAGTCTTTGCCCCTATCGCAACCTTTACAGGACGTCATGCCATTCTTTCTCGCGTGACATGCGAGGGAGGCTGTGATAGTCTCAGATCAGATATAATCTGAGGTGAACTTCGCTCGTTCAAAATTTTGATATGCTAAACGTATTGCAATTTATAGCGGAGCTCGCAGAGCGTAGCCCCATAATTATACAAAATAGTAGTACCCCTCGAGCCGAAAAAATTTGGTTGTACGACCGTACGACCGTACGACTGTGCAAGGTGCCACTTTTAACATGCGTGGTCAACTGTACCGCGGGCACGCCAGCGCCACGGCTTTGTCTAGTAGTTCAGTGGTCAGTGCACTGGGCTCCGAATCGGACGACCCGGGTTCTAGTCCTGGCCGGGGCAAGGCGTTGTGCCCTTGAGATGTGCGGGCAAAAAAAATGAGAGCTCCGCTTTTAGGCTTGGCTAAATCTATATGTTAGTTTTTCACTAGCGCGCGGTTGGTTTAAACGCATCACGTGATCGAATATGCCTCAGCTAAAAATAGGAAATATCCGAGGATTTACCCGAAATGATGTTCCCCTGTTTTCAAACCTTACATCTACTACGATAAAAGCGTTCGTTTAGAATTGAATTAAAGATGAAAGAGCATTAAGTTGCTGCTAAAGATGAAGGGACACGTTTGTTTGTCGATAAGTCATAACATGGTACACACTGAAAAGTAAACATCCCACGCAGCAAACAGTAAGCTGTTCGTAAACATTTTCTCGCGCGTTGCAAAACTATTTGAAGGATAATAAACACAACGCTTGCATCTTCGTTCTGGAACATAAGCTATTTCTCGAAGCTCATAACCTTCTTCTGGGTTTACCGCCAGAAAACTGTTCGCATCTCGTAACAGATTGTGTCCGCGAACAAATATTTTCGCAATAAACGAAAGCTATTCTTTTTATATTTGCAATATTCACCCTAGAGTCTTAAGATATTGTGAGATAGCTATGTAATAATTTTTTCATTTAAACCATATCCTTGCGTGACAGTCTTAGTCTCTTTCGTAACATTTTTCAAGATGTCGCGTGACATACGAAAGGTCACACATAATATGGTTTTTCTCTATTTTTAACTTCATACCAAACGCAATTTATACAAACACTTTTTGCGAATTTGATGCTAGGCGAGATGTATATGAAAGTTTTTCATAGTAAACCTTATTTTGTAATCCATAATTTTGAACAGGATTTGTTTCCAAATAACCACCACTTTCCTAACTGAAGATTTGGCTCCTTATTTTTGGTAGGGTAGCAAAGGGACTGTCCTGATCCCGTGTCACGCAGGAATTTCAGCAAAATTCACGCGTCACGAATTTATTTTCTATGGTGGCAATTTACTTTATCAACTCGGTTAATAAAACTAAATAATCTTGTAAATACCCCTTTCCACACACACACCCACACACGCAGTACCTCAACTTCTTTGCAAACTTAACTTGCTCCCTATTTCTGAAAAGACACACGGCAAAATGGGATCTATTTGTTGAATAGACTGATATTTCAGTGCCATTTCCTTCAGCAAAGGTTCGTTCCTTTCCTATTGTCAGATGACTTTTCTTTTTCCTCGAGATCTACGTTTGCTTAACAATTAACGAGCAAAATACAAACTAAGAAATTTAATTGTCTTTACCTTGACATGCGCTGTTTAAGACATGCATGGGTTTTTTCGTCAGAAAAGGACAGCCAATTAGTGAGCGTCTAAAAGGACCTCTTGTTACAGCGTTTAGATCACCCCTAATGAAGGCACTAGACAGAAGTGTCGAAACGTTGAGTCTGTGAATTGTAACTTCTCGGCTACATTCATTAAATCTTTAAACCAGAGTAGCATGAAACCATGTCTAATTTTCCACCTGGTTGCCTTGTGAACGTAAATATAGTTTAATACTATTTCCACTCAAGTGGGCGCCGTCTTCTATCATAGTTTCCTTGTTCCACAAGGTCATGGCCTTATCCTGTTTTAATTGATTCAATTCGGTATGTTGTCAATGACTTGTATAAGAGGTGTCTCTGGAATGATTCTTGTGATTTTCTGTGATCGTCAACCAGAAATAAACCATTAACAATACTCAGGAGCCTATTACTTGGAGCGTTCGACTCCTATACTGGGCCTATGTCACGGCGTTTTCACAGAATGGTTTATTTTTAGACTATCTTTTCGCGGGAAATAGGCTACTCGAGCTCACTTGGGTAATAAGATCCATGAAACGCGAAGAAAAAAAATGGCGGCCCTACGCGGGGACGTCTTCATATCAAAACTACGCAAATTCCGCCTTTCTTTTGCTGTATTCCAGTATTCCAATCCTTCATTTCCTTATGTATCCCACTATCCTTTGCACAGGCGGCCCAGGCTTCAGCTGTGAGATGATCATCTTGCACAATGACAGTCATAGCGGAATTATAAGAGTTTGTATGAGAATATGTACGACCGCCCTAAGGAATAAAACAATACGTCAAATTCTCAATAAAAATACCTCACCTTACTTCCACAGTGTATTACTTGTTATCTGACCGCTTTTTTTGATGAAAGTACCCATCTTAGTGAGTTGTCCATTTCCAGGTTTCCAACGTACATAAGAAAAGCTAAAATGGGTTCTTTTCATCAAAGTAAACAGTCAGGTAACAAGTGATACGCTGTGTAAGTAAGGTGAGGTATTTTTATTGAGAATTTGACGTATTGTTTTATTCCTAAGAGTGGTCGTAAATATTCTCATACAAACTGTTATAATTCCGCCATAACTGTTATTGTGCAAGATGATCATCTCACAACTGGAGCTTGGGCCACCTGTGTCCTTTGCATATTTTTCACACTCGCGAAAAAAATTCGCAGGAGTGTGGATCATCGTGGTATTTTTATTTGTATTTATTTATTTTTTAATTTTTGTGTATATCAAAGGTCACCCGTCTTCTGATTCTGACCCCTTTAAAGAAAATTTCATGAAAAGAGTCCAAATTCAAGACGATGAAGAGGCGAAGTGCCAGCGATGATGGAGAGCGCGGAAACAATAAATTGCGTGAGGAAGCTGTGTGCGAGTTGTCTTCATCTCAATAATCTTCATCCTCACAGTCCGTAAAGAAAATTTTGCGACGTAGATTGAACAGAAGCGGGTGCAACAAAATGAGGAGCGTTTTTCTAGATCGCAAGATAATGCTACTCTTTCGAATTGGGCTTAGATCTTGTCAAATCTTGATTATTTTTGTGAAGTGCGGTCGATAATAGTGCTGCATGCGGCAAAATTCACGGTGCCTATTGTCGCTTTGATCATTGAACAGTCAAGAGTCGGGTTTATCTTCATTAGAACTTTCCTCGGAACTGCTGCTTCCCGAGGTATTTTCAAAATACTCACACCACAAGCGTCCCAAGCTCACTGTTATTCCTGTTATAAGACGAAGTCAAGGCTGCGCACTTCGATTTTGACCGTTGTATAACAGGAATAACAGTGACGGCAAAGCAATTAAAACGGCAGAGAACGCCGGAAACCACAACGGACACAAAAGATGTGAGTAAATGCTATTGATTTAACGTTTCGAAATATTTATCGTTGTAAATCGATCATATTTCGTTCACCATGCTATTCCTTATAACATGTTCAAATACTCAACGGTTCCTCCCGTAAGTTAACACCAAGTCACTCAGCATGTGACACTTTCATGAATTAATCGTTTGCTTTTTATCGAGACGTGAGTTTGGGGCGCGTCTTTTCACATGAATCTGCACTCGAACTATCGCAAGAAGCCTAGCATCTCCCTGCTGTTTTTCTTTCGATATATTAACGAGTACAGTTAGAAATTAATCAGGCGCTAATCTTGATTGGTCGATGTGCTCTCGTGGGGAGCCCTAGTTCGCGGTAAATTCAAACTAAAAATAGACTTGTCTGTGAAAACGCTGTGACAGAAATAGAGGGCAGTTGAAAGCTCCAAGTGATAGGCTCCTGCAATACTACATTGCGCATGTAACGACAGAATCAAAAAAAGGAAAATAA